CTTTCCCTAAAGCAAAACAGTGAGACTTTTACTAAACTTTATATCCAGCGACATTAACACTGCCGTAGAACTATAGTTCAAATCATGCTTTAAAATCTAAGCATCATGAAATAACCAAAATCTGTGGTTATCCAAAGAACAATGCTTTCCAGGCTGAACGTGACATAGAGACACACTTACCTTTCAAAGCGCTCTGTCCCTAGTTGTCTCTTGGTAATGTCTAAATCAGCTTCCAACTGCGTTATGACGTTCCTGAACTGGGCCACGTCTCTACTCTGGATGGCCCTGTGTAAAAGAATGTGAGTGACAGTTAATTACAGGTAAAATATGGCTAGGACTCCTAGAGTACATGAAACCATGTTGGCAATGGTTTCTCAGCTGGATCCAAGCAAAATTGTCATTTTCATAGATGTATTAGTGCATCTAAAATATGCCAGCTTTAGACGTAGTAAATGTGCAAAGTAGCCTACTAAAAGCCTAAGCTGTCCCAGCCCCATTCAATTAGTTAAACCTTTTCTGTCTCAGTTTCTCTATGTTTAGAGGGGTACTATTATCTATTATCTACCTATATTACTTATTTACTGCAGATCATTTTTACAAGTGTACTTTAAGGTATTAGGTGCATATTCCAGTGCATATAATACTGGAATTCACTAGCACCATGATGAATGTGTGTGTATATTATATGTACATTTAATTGACCAAATGCCTTATATATACTTGCAATGAAATTTGATATATCTACTGTTAAAAACAAAATCTCTTCAATTTAACAGGATCTTCCTTAGGGCTAAACACTGCCTCAAAAACCCTGTGATAAGGCACACTACCATGAGGCAGATGACAGAGGTGAATGCTGCTTGCACAGAACATTCTATCCTATCTGCTGGCTTCCAGGACTGCATTACAGACTGCCGGAATCTAAACTTTAGAGACTAAGAACACACAACTTTATCAAGCTTACTTGATACTACTCACCAGCCAGTCTAAAACAGAATGTACCCCTTAAGGTGGGAGTGTAGGCACATTTCACTGAGGCAATTTCCACCTACGGCTTGAGGAAATGATCCTGCAGAACTGGTTGAAGGTACCCCAAAAGCACAGCTGCAGTGATTGAAAAGAATGACTCAATCACAGCTGCCAAAACCTAAAATCAGTTTCTGCAGGAAACGGGCCCTGGCTTTGCAGCCTTTGCTTAGTTGGGGGCTCCTACAAGTAGCTGATTCCTGAGACCATGATTCCTGTCCTTCCCCACGTCCCCTGCTCGGATGGGAGGGCAGAGTTGAGGCTGGATGAAAAAGTGTTATAGGTGGGACAGATAAGAACAGAGGCTAAGGGTCTCCATGAAGTTTTGTGAGAGGTGAGTTTAATAATAAAATATTAAGTTTAATAATAAAATATTTTAGTAATAACATATTAGTTTAATATTTTAATAATAAAATATTCACTATGTTTAATAATAAAATATTCACTATGCAGGCAGGCATTTCCACCTAATCCAACAGTCTTGTAAATAAGGTGCTAATGGTATTAGGTGTTCTTATCAGGGCTTCCCTGGTGGCACAGTGGTTCAGAGTCCGCCTGCTGATGCAGGGGACATGGGTTCGTGCCCCGGTCCGGGAAGATCCCACATGCTACGGAGCAGCTGGGCCCATGAGCCATGACCACTGAGCCTGTGCGTCCGGAGCCTGTGCTCCGCAACGGGAGAGGCCACAACAGTGAGAAGCCCGCATACCACAAAAAAAAAAAAAAAAGTCAAAATCAATGTTTTGGGGGAAGTCGTCAGCTTTCTGTAAATGCAGTAGTTCTTCCAGATAACCAGTATACACTTACAGGTACATAGGGGAATACTTTGTGGCAAATGGAAAGACAGTAGCACTACCAGGTGGGTCCAAAAATAGAAAAATTCTTCTGGTTTCAGAAGTGCTTAATTTCTTCTAATCTGGTTATTTCCTAAAGGCAATATGTTAGATCAATAGGTGTTCATTTATACCCAAACAATCAACAAAGATGGTTAAACTTAAATTTAGATAAATTTAGATAAACATATAATAGAAATAAGTACTAAATCTTAGACAAATCACAATATTTGGGGTCCTCAGTTTAATTAATAGCAAATTATGACACTAAATTGTCTAAATGCCAGCTTTAAAATTCTATTAATCTATAAAGTACCAAAAATTTAGAAATATGACTTCATGGTATCATATTGCTAACCAACTCACATTTTACTTTCTGCCAAACAAAGGTGTTCTTTAAGAAGCTGAATTTCAGATTCTTTTTCTTGAAGTGCTATCTGAGACTGATATTCTTTGTCTCGATTGGCCACCAGCAAAGCTTCTAGATTCTGCATGGATATTCTCTCATTTGTCATCTGACTCCTGAGGAGTTCTATTTCAGAACGAGCAGAATCCAACTCATTCTCCATCTGTACAATAATAGGAAGATACCTATACTTATTCCTATTCGTTCACTTAACTGATGTATTATCAGAGACTCATAAAATGTCTGTATTATGTTATAAACTGACAACCACTTTTAATTTCTTGATTAGAAATTGTGTCCTCCTTCTTACCAGATACACACACGCACACACACTGAGTATCACTTTCCCCAACTCTCTGATAATATCAGAAAGTTCATTAATTTAAGTAAAGAGTTATTAATCTCAAACGTCAAACAATTTCCATTTCCAGCCTTGATATTTCTTATTTCTGCAAGACTGACATGGTAGTATCTGTAACTACTGCTTTGTCCTGAGATGGGTGAATTATAAACACCTAATTTCCTGACGGAACGTCATCGCGCTCCATAGTTAAGAAAGATAAGGAGTAATTGCACATTCCCTCTCTTGCATGATCCTGTGGAAAACTTCACTTTTTGAAGGTTATCTTGAACCTAAAATACATTCTATAAGCCAAATGTTTCTTCTAAAGGAGAAAAACCAGACATCATTATTTAGAAAAAAATTATTCCTTATCTCATAATACATATTATAATAATTTACATATGCATTAAAAAAGTTAAATGTTGGGCTTCCCTGGTGGTGCAGTGGTTGAGAGTCCGCCTGCCGATGCAGGGGACGTGGGTTTGTGCCCCGGTCCGGGAAGGTCGCACATGCTGCGGAGCGGCTAGGCCCGTGAGCCATGGCCGCTGGGCCTGTGCGTCCGGAGCCTGTGCTCTGCAATGGGAGAGGCCACAACAGTGAGAGGCCCGCGTTCCCCCCCGCAAAAAAAAGTTAAATGTAAAAAGATAAAACCCTAAGAAAAAAAGGTTAAATAAAAATGAAATTATTAGGAAAGGGGCGGGCAGGTAGGGGAAGAACATTTTAGACTAGATACAATTAAAAAATTATGTCTGACTGTAGAAAAAACAAACATATTTATACTCATTATAAACAAACAAAATTTATGAGGAAAAAAACCAGATGAAAATAAACTCAGTAAATAGTTAATATCTTATTAATCTAAGGAAGATGAACAAACTGAGGAGAAATATGAACTAATGATGTGAACAGAAAATGCACAAAATACAGCTAATTAGTAAACATATAGAATAACTTACCCTTACTAATAATCAAAGAAATAGAAATTAAATCAAGACGGTATTTCTAGTCCAGGATTTCTTAACTTTGACACTACTGATCTTTTGGGTTGGACATTTATTTGGTGTAGGGAGTTGCCCTATGCGTTACAGGATGTTTAGTGGCATCCCTGGCCTCTACCTACCAGAGATCCATAGCATCCCCCCCACCCTGGTTGTGACAGTCAAAAATGTCTATAGACATTGCTAAGTGTTTCCTGGGGAGCAAAATCTCTTTCAGGTGAACCAACGTTGTAGTTTATCAAACTGGCAAATTTCTTAGTTTTTGTGTTGATTAACATTAAAATGGGCAATGGTAATCTCATATACCTTGCTGGCACGAATATAAAATGGAGCATCACATTTTTGGTAACAGCTTTATTGGAATATAATTCACATACCATACAACTTGCCCATTTAAATTGTACAAGTCAATGGTTTTTAGTACATTAACAGAGTTGTATGATCATACCACAATCTCACAATCTATTGTGAGAACTTTTTCATCATCCCAAAATGAAACCTAGCACACATTAGCAGTCATTCCCCCACTCCTACCCCAGCACTAGCCCTAGACAATCCCTAATCTATTTTCTATCTCTATGATCTGCTTTATCTTAAACATTTCATATCAATGGAATCATACAATGTGTGTGTGGTCTTATGGGACTGCCTTCCTTCACTTAGTGTAATGTTTTCAAGAGTCATCCATGTTTTAGCAGGTATCAGTACTTCTATTGCCAAATAACATTCCCTTGCATAGATGTAGGAATATTTGTGTTATTTACACTTTCTGGCTATTATAAATAATGCTGATAAGAACATCGGTGTATAAGTTTTTACATGGACCTATGTTTTCATTCTTCTTTGATAAATAGGAGTGGGATTTCTGGACTTTACGGTAATCCTATTTTTTCACATTTTGAGGAACTGCCAAGATGTTTTCCAAAGAGGCCTATTTTACATTCCCACCAGCAATGTATGAGGGTTCCAAGTTTTCTACATCTTTGCCAACATTTGCTATTGTCTTTTGTAAATTATAGCCATCCAAGTGGTTATGAAATGGTATAGTTTTGTTTTGCATTTCTCTGATTATTAATGATGTTGAGCATCTTTTCATGTGCTTTTTGACCATTTATGTAATGTCTATAGAGAAGTGTCTATTGAGATCCTTTCCCCATTTTTTGAGTTGGGTTATTACTAAGTTGCAAGAGTCCTTTATATACTCTGGATACAAATCTCTTATTAGATATATGATTTGCAAATGTTTCCCCCATTCTGTGCATTGTCTTTTTACTTTGTTGATATCATTTGCAGCACAAAAGTTTTTTATTTTGATGAAGTCCTTCTAATCTATTTTTTCTTCTGTTGTACTTTTGATGTGACTCTAAAAAAGCATTACCTAACCCAAGGTCACAAAGATTTATTTGTATGTTCTCTTCTTAAGAGTTTTATAATTTTAACTCTTACATATAGGCCTATAAAACATTTGAAGTTAATTTTTGTATATGGTATGTGATAGGAATCCAACTTCATTCTTCTCCATGTAGATGTTTAGTTGTCCCAGTAGCATTTGTTGAAAAGGCTTATTCTACCCCATTAAACTGTATTGCTACCAATTTTTTGGAAATCATTTCACCACAAATATAAGAGTTTATTTCTGGACTCTCAATTCTGTTCCACTGACCTATATATCTTTCCTTATGCTAGTACTACACTGTCTTGATTACTATAGACAGTTTTGAAATTGGGAAGTGCTCTGACTTTGTTCTTCTTTTTCAAGATTGTTTTGGCTATTGTGGGTCACTTGCACTTCCATATTAATTTTATGTCGTCTTGTCAGTTTCAATGAAGAAGCCAGCTGGGATTCTAATAGGCATTGTATTGAATTTGTAGACCAATTTGGGGTAGTACTGCCATTTTAACAGTGTTAAGTCTTCTGATCCATGGATGTGGGATGTCTTTCCTTTTATTTGGGTCTTTAATTTCTCTCTCTCTCTGTCTCTCTCTATCTCTCTCCAAACTGGAAATAACAGATGTCCTTCAAAGGATGAATGATTAAACAAACTATGTTACAGGAATGAACCACTAATATATGCAACAACCTGGATGAATCTTCAGAGAATTATGCTGAGTGAAAAAATCCAATCCCCATAGTTTATATATTGTATGATTCTATCTATATAACATTCTTGAAGTGACAAAACTTACAAGTGGAGAACAGATTAGCTGCTTGTTTCCAGGGGTTAAGGAGAGGTTGTGGATAGGAAGGGAGTAGATAGTGCTAAAAAAAGGGCAACATGATGGGTCCTGTGACAGAAATGTTCCATATCTTGCCTGAAACAACGTCAAAAGCCTGGTTGAGATATTATACTATGGTTTTGCAAGATGTTACCATTGGGGGAGGCCAGGTAAAGGAGACACAACATTTCTTTGTATAGTTTCTTATAATTGCATGTGAATCTACAATTATCTCAAAATCAAAAGTTTAACTTAGAAAAATTATTTGACTGTCCCTTATATGCATAGTACAGCTAAAGAAATACAGAGATAAATAAGATAGTTCTTGCACTTGAAATACAGCTTATTATGGGGATAAACATATATACATAAATAACTAAATTCTAAGGCAAAAAAAAATTATGTCAGGAGTATTTAAAAATACTATGAGAATTAGCCTGATGACTTCACACCCATCTGGATAGTTATTAGCAAAAGAGAGAGAGAGGTGGGGGGAAGGAGGGAGGGAGGGAGGGGGTTAGAGAGAGAGAGAAAAAGAAAGAAAGAAAGGAAGAGAAAGAGAGAAAGAAAGGCTGAAAAACAAGTGCTGGCAAGGATGTAGAGAAATTGGAACACTTGTGCACTGTCAGTGGGAATGTAAAATGGTACAGCTGCTTTGGAAAACAGTATGGAGATTCCTCAAAAAATTAAAAATAGAATTACCATATGATTACCATATGATCCAGAAATCCAACTTCTGGGTAGAGACCCAAACAAAATGAAAGCAGCATCTTTAGGAGAGATTTATACACCCATGTTTATAGCAGCATTATTCATAATAGCTAAAACATGGAAGCAACCCAAGTGTCCACAAACTGACAAATAAATAAGCAAACTGTGGTATATTCACACAATGGAATATTGTTCAGCCTTAAAAAGGAAAGAGAGGGTGGAGCCAAGATGGCAGTGTGGGAAGACGTGGAGTTAGCTTCTCCCCACAACTAGGGTGCCTGCTGGCCGCTGGTGGGGGACTCTGACACCCAAGGAGATGGGAGGAACGCCAAAGTGAACCAGTAGGATGTAGGGGGACTGAGGGGGGAAGAGAAGTGGAGGCCAGACAGGATCTGTGCCCCCTAAGGCCAGGGAGATCAGGAGAGGCAGGTGGGGGGGACTCTCCCAGAAGAAAGGGAGAGGAGCAGAGGGCCATCGCCTGGCCCACTAGGGCCAGGGAGCCTGCTGAGCTCCCAGGCCAGTCCCCTGCCCTCCAAGGCTGCCCACCCCTCATTGGTCCTGGGGGCATAGGAGGGAGGCCGGGGAGATCAGGAGAGGCAGGTGGGAGGGGCCCTCCCAGACGGGAGGAGCAGGAGAGGAGAGGAGGGCAACTGCCCCACCCCCTCAAGCCCAGGAAGCCTGCTGGGCTCCCAGGTGATTCCCTGCCTTCTAAGACCAGGGGTGGGGGGCACGCCTGGGCCTCTTCTGTTCCTAGAGCCTAAGCCCCAACCCCCCACAGCCCCCAGGGTCTTTTCCAGCCCTGTGGGTCCTAAGCACAGGACCCGCCCACTGCCCAAACCTCACCCTTGCTTAGGCCCTGCCCTCCACAGCCAAGGTCTTCCCCCCACCCCTTTT